CATAAAAAAAAAAATGTAACCCGCATTGTGTCTTATTTCCTTAGCTTGACCTGTCTGCGAGTTGTCGCAGGTCATGATCAAGATAGTTTGAATTAACCCAGATTATTATAATCAAGGGGGAAACGCTAAATCCGTAGGATTATACAGTGCCTGTGAGGGGGATGTGGAAGGTATTCAGGCTTAATTCAGGGAACTGTAGCAAAGATCCAATTTCCTAGATTAAGAGCCCCTCACCAGCGTCAAGGATCCTTCCTTGAGGGGTGAGCTAACCCAGAACTTTCACAAGATAGCTGGGTCTAGACGAAAGTTATCACAGGTTATCATCAAGATAGTTTGCTATGTAAAGTAAAAGGACACAAGTGCAACTAATGTGACATTTTATTGTGGCAACGTTTCGCTCTTCAGGAGCTTTATCAAGCCATTACAAACAATACCCTCTGTGTCCATGTATTGTTTGTAATGGCTTGATAAAGCTCCTGGAGAGCGAAACGTTGCCACAATAAAATGTCACATTAGTTGCACTTGTGTCCTTTTACTTTACATATTGTCGGTAATTCTACCAACTTTATTACAATAGTTTGCTATAGTCGAGAGCTATCACAAGTCGGTGAGCTAGAAGCTAAAAGCTTTGCACAGACTGCAAACGTGATAATTTTAGTGGTGCGTAGAAGGAAAATGTGTAAAACGATGACTGTGCTTCCCCTCCTTCCTTTGTGTGATAGTATTGTTGTTGCGACTATTGTACCACTGTGCCCTCAGTCAACAGGGGAAGGGAAGGGGCGACTGCTGTGTGGGATGAGGATGTGGGGTCAGGAATAGGATGTGGAGCCACGTAAGTCTAATGCACTGAGTTTGAAACCGAAAGTCTGATGTCCTAAATCAAATAAGTTCAATAACTTTGGTCATGGGGCACCTGCACATGCTAGTTGTAACCAGGATTTGGTCTTCCTTACCGTATACAAGCGTTCAAAATTTGAATCCAATCGGATGAGGTGTTCTCGAGTTGCGAGAGAAATGAAAGCGAAAAGTAGGAAGAAGAAAAAAGAAAAGCAAATTCAGGCAACCACTTAAAGGTCTTCCTTCGGGGATACCTAATGAAATTAAGCCATGGTCCTTGGTTTTCTTGGGTTATTAATCCTTCAGTGTTATACTGATTAGTGTCATCTATTTTTCAAAGCCGGCGTCTACACCACTTACTGTGGCACGTCCAGTCTAGTGGGGAGAGGCAACGGGGTTAACTTTCTCAGTGGGACAAGGCTAGCGTGTGAGAAGGCTTGAACGACTGTATTTAGCAGTGTTTTGGTGGATGTACAGGGACAAGATGATAAGCAAGCGTTCTTTGGCCAGTCTCCTGACTTTCTGTTGCGATATGTTTGGTACTATTTATCTGTGTCTGTAAGGCACATAAGGGTTATAATATTTTACGTATTATGAAGACGTTTCGTCCACCAGGGACTTCATAAATTCACACAGAGGACAAGATATGAGTATTTATAGGAGGTTAGAGAGAGGTCCTGAGGTGAAAGAATGAGGTCATGAAGTCACATGTGAGAAGCCAGCTCAAGCAAGTGAGGTTAGGTGGTCGCAGAACCAGGTAATGGGAGAATAAGCCTCGCTTTAACTTCGGAGATTGATAATTGTCCTGAGCTTGATTAATATTATTGGTTGTAGCTTTTAACAAAAACCAGTGCCATACCGTTCCATACTATAATTATCCCGAGGTCCTTCTCTTTGTGTGGCAGCCTCTACCACTTTCCCTTATCATTATTTGATATCTATTTCAGGGTTTATTCTCAGCCCCCGAGTTTCACTTGTCTGACCATATTTACACTGCCTATGTTGTGTTGTTGCTTTTCCCTGCCATCTCTTTTTCTTCTTATTAGTTCTGCTTCCTGAAATTGCGATTTAAAGTAAAAATTAACAAAAACTTAGGAGAGTAGAACGTGTAACGTATTGGCTGTCCTAAATCTACCAAGGTTCTTAATAAGAGGAAGGACCTTGGGTGTTTCTTGTATCAGTGATAGGATTATTGAGGTTAACACTGTGCTTGGTATTAGAATATTAAGAAATGAACCAGACACTGTCACTACAAATCTTACTAAATGTCTAGAAAGTAAAATATATATTTCAGTGGGTTGTTAAAACGTTCAATTATATTAAGTTTTATAACTTTAACGAACTGTATTACTGTAGACAACAAGAGCATTTATCCCTCCATGGAATGTGTGTTCATTTAATATCACATATTTACAAGCCCCTCTCACGAAGCTCATTACTAGTAATCCCTTCCTTAAATCACTTGTAAAAGCAACTAGTCAAGAAGAAATTTCTCGCTAAACTGTTAGTAATAATTTGTCACAAGTTATATACACTGATGGATATAAGCAGGATTCTACTGGCTGGGCTGCATCTGTTCTTGTTGCCACCTCCCTAGTTAAAAACAATAGAAACTATGTTGAGTTAGGCGTTAGAATTAACTGGGTGTCTACACTGTAAGCTGAATTGTTTGCCATCCTAATGGCGCTAAAGTTAACTTATGACACTGAGGTTGACTCTCTTATTATTACTGATTCTATGTTATCACTGAAGGCTCCTCACTCGCATAATGACTCTAACAACATGTTCATTGGAAAAGATATATAAATACTCAAAAATCTGGGAAAAGAGAATTAATGTACAAATGTTTTAGATTCCATAACACATTGGATTACTCCCTCAAAATTATTATTATAATACTCAAAACTAAGCTCTAAACCTTCCCTCATGATAAAGTTGATACGTTAACCAAGAAAAGTACTCCGAAGGAAAATGTAGAATATAACTTCGGTATATCTGTGTCGAACATTAGGAATAATACCAGGAGAGAAATAAATAATAAAAGTGAATGTTATAGGAATGCAGTTAGAAGCCTTAGTAGATCTGTAACACACTATAACATGAACGTAGATAACGTTTATGGAGGAACTTGCAATGTGAACAGACTGACTAATGTTGTAGTAGCCAGGCCTAGGCTTGGTTACAAGTACCTCTGGCAATTTGGCAGACACACAGATGATCAAACCAAATGCAGAGTATGTAGCCAGCCCAATGGTCACTAACTTGAACACTGTGCTTTATTGTCCACTTATTGAGGAAAACAGATATACAGTACAATAACCTATGTGACATGCCAAGATATCTTATTAATGAAAATAAGATACCAGGTATATTAAACAGATATAGATATAAATCCAAATGTACTTCTGTAAACTCTTTTGGGGTCTAGTTCCTAGGTCTTTTTGTTATCCATATGCTCTTCCTCTACCGTCTACAGGATGGATGTAGGGTGCACAATGAATTAGCCACTTCGGTGGCAAAATAAAAAATGAACGTGACGTCCTTTGGGCTTCAGGGACTCGCCTCAAGATTTGCTTCCCCCCCCCCCCCCCCATCCTTCCAAGTAAAATCAAATATTGACAAGGTGTTTTATTTTATACGAATTATAGTAGCACGGTTTTACGAAGAGACGCTCCTGCCTTACAGTTATACTAATATTTTACTAAGGTATTTTAAACGGCAGACTAAGATAAAGAATATGATATGTATAGGGATTTCAGTAAGGCCTTTTTGGAGAGTACCACACAGGAGATTATTGAAGCAGCAGCACACGGAATAGGTGGAGAAATTATCTCGTGTAACGAGGCATGGTTGACCAATGGAGAACAAAGTGCATAAATGAAGGGAAATCAGAGTGGGGACCCGTTACCAGTGGTGTTCCACGGGGGTCAGTATTGGGCCCCTTATTGTTCACAGTATACATAAACGGCTTAGATGAAGGAATAAAAAATGATATAAGCAATTTTGCCAGTGCCACTAAAATAGGCTGTCAGATAAATTTTGCTGAGAACAGATAGGTTGATGTTATAGTCGAAGAAATTGCAGATGTAGTTTAATGTAGACAAACTTAAGATTCTATTCTTGGTTAAGAAAATAACTATGACATGCATAAACTAAAATTATATATATCTCAACCAAACTGAATGCGAGAAAAGACTTAGAAATTCTGTTGAACAGCAGTTTAAAGGCAAGCAGGAGTGCATAAGTATTCCCAATAATGCTAAGAATTCTTGGCTTAATATCGAGAAGTATATGCATAAATTGTCTTAAAGTTATACTTCAGCTTTATGTATCTTTCCATAAAGACAAATGCAGTATAATGTGATCCATTATTGATAACGTTTCGCCCATACCATTTCTCTTCTTTATGTACCTTGGGAAGGCCTCAGATTATGCTGCATAGTTCTGGTCTCCATATTACAGAATGAACATAAATACGCTGGAAACATACAGACAAAGATAGCATGTATCATAAATCTTACGAGGATTGACTGAGGGTAGTAAATTTGCACTCTCTGGATACCCGTAGAAATAGGGGATATGACTGAAGTGTACAAATGAATACAGGAATAAATAACAAAAAAGGATATAAATAACATGCTAAAATATTTAATCAAGACAGGACTCGCCGCAGTAGGTCAGTAAGTTTATTCAGGTATACACAAATACAGTTAGGTTATGATTATCGTACATAGCAGCATAGTGTAGAGATAATTAAAAAAAAAATAGTGACTTATTTCCAGTGGGGTCCTTGCAAGAGCTTAGGTTTAGTAAGGATATAGGATAGCGCTGGTTTGGTAATAGAGTTGTGAATGAGTGGAACAAACTCCCGAGCAGCGTCAATGAAGCGAGAATCTTGAGGACCTTTGAAAATAGGTTAAACAAGTACATGAGTGGGTATGGGTGGGTTTGAGTTGGCCCTGCCTAGCATGAGCCAGTAGGCTTGATCTGGTGATTCTTTTTGTCTTGGTAAAATACATGTGCAACATTTGCATATATCTTGCTCTTCTGCTTGTCACTATAGTGTACCATTAACGTAACGATCGTTGCTTTTTTTTTTTTTTTTTGGGGGGGGGGGGACTGACTACTGACGTATTTTAAATATATTTCACTGTTTTTCCCAGGATACGAATCTTCAGGCGGTCTACACAGCGACGGCTGGTAAGTACATCACAGCTTCATATCAAGTATACATATCAAGTATACATATCAAGTATACATCTTCGCATCATCAGTACCTACACAGCTTCACATCAACAGTAAGTGCACCACAACTTCACATCAGCAGTAAGTACACAGCTTCACATCATCGGTAAGTGCACCACAAGTTCAATCAATAGTGAATGCACCACAGCTTCACATCAACAGTAAATTCACCACAGCTTCACATCAACAGTAAGTGCACCACAACTTCACATCATCAGTAAGTGCACCACAGCTTCACATCAACAGTAAGTGCACCACAACTTCACATCATCAGTAAGTGCACCACAACTTCACATCATCAGTAAATGTACCACAACTTCACTTCATCAGTAAGTGCACTATTGCACAGTCCACCCTCGGGTTTACGGCCTTGAGTCTGACGTCAGCAAATCTTACAGAGCATGTTTTTGCCGGCGCAGTTCGCAATGATTTTTATACTGCAGTATGTTTTGTTCTACACCGTTCGGCTCCTCGTCACCCCCTTGTATTATAGCGATGCTCGCTTCGTGAAAAACATCATTGTTTGTGACTGGGAACTTTACAAATAGGTTAGACATGTATATGAGCGAGGAGGGTTGGATTTGAGTAGGGTCTGCCTGTCATGGGTTATTAAGGCTATTGATGTTAATTCCTTGGACCTCTTTGAGAACAGGTTAGACAGATATGTGGGTGGGAAGGGTTAAAATTTGAGCACATGCCAAGTATGAGGCAGTAAGCCTACTGCAGTGGAAATTGGTATGGTGATACCGACATGATGTGGGAAAAAAGATACTTATGTGTACTTCAGAAGAAGCCTGTGGATACTGTCCCAAGGAATATGCGTTCTTCTTGTTCTTGTTCAGACCAGAGCTTTGGTTTTGGTCCGCCTGAACGAACATAGAAACGCCAGCAACAGAGACGACTTAAGGTACGCCAGTGTCCTCCAAAGGGACTCCACGGGACATTTGATGAATTGGGATGAAGCACAGCTTGTTCTCACTGAACAAGAAGTTAGACGCCGACGATGTCTGGAAGCCTCGCTAATCGCCGTCACCGACACCATAGAACATAACACTGGAAACTACAAAATTTCAAAAACATTAACATACATGATACTCAACCAGGTAAAGCACCACCTACTCACCTGTCCTCATCCCAATATGGCATTCTTCAGGTCAACATGTCACATGCACCTCACTCCGCCTTATACTGTCTAAAACTGGGTCACCACATGGAGAAGACCCGGACCAGGATGTGTACCTTTGTGTTTGAAATGATCAAGGTCCCAGCACCGAAACGTTTTCTAATAAATATGTCCTAGTTTTGCTCACGTGTCTTTCCAAACCAGAAGAAGCCACACGTGGCGAAACGTTTTCCCTAATAGATGCCCTGAACTGTACATAAGTATCTTTTTTCAAGCCTACTGCAGTGTTGCTCAATTCTTATGCTCTTATAAGATTATTTGTTTCTTTCATTCGGAGAATGATCAAAAGAAACTCCCGTGTCAAATGTTAATTATATATAAATATATATTAATAGGCTGTGTGGTTTGAAATTCCGCGGAGGGAGAGTAGCCTCTTACATTCCTTGTTTTCTCATTTAATTCCGCCTTCTGATAAACCATAATAAAGTTCTTTTTCGTATCAAATGATACAAAATACTGGGTCAAGAGCCCCCTCACCGACATCAAGGCACCTGGTCCCCCGCCCCCTCAAGGGAGGTCCCTGGATTCCCGGCGAGGGGCTCTTGATTCAAGGAACTACATTTGTCATCCCCTTCATTGGAGCAAACATGAATGCTTCCTATGGATTTAGCGCTTCCCTGATTAAAATGCAAATTAAATACTCAAGTATAACTATACAGTAAAACATAAATGTTTACAAGTAGATAAGTAAAACGTTCAGCGTTTAGGTATCCGGAAACATTTCGCCAACACAGTAGGCTTCTTCAGTCGTATACAGATCTAACTTTATTGTATACCATTATTGTAATGGTATTTACAAGTAACAAAATAAGTAATGTTTAGGTTGGTTTGTGTATGCGAATAGTTTTGAAGACGAATCTATTACTAATTGGAGACTTGCACTATACAATGCCTCTTAGACAACTTTAAACAAAATATTGTCTGTCCCGCTCAAGTCTCGACACGTCCCAGTTTGCTTGGTTTCGTTCATAAAAGATATAAAGGAAAGTATTACTTTCGGTATAAGTTACTATACCATGATTTGTCTATCCGGCAACCTTCACGGAGAAGAAGAGGGTTGATACACAACAAATTTTACAAAATTGCAAGCTAGTTGACTCAATAATGCTAGGCTTACCATAGGTCCCGTTTTGACCGGAATTGTCCCGGTTTGAAAGTCCCGTCCCGAAGTGCCGGTCAGTCTGTCATTTTGTCCCGAACAGAAACATCGCTGATGAACAACGTAAGGTCTCAGGAAAGAGACTGAATCTACACTAAAAGGGCTAATGTATTGCAAAATAAACATTGACTCAAGTTGCAGCGAGTTTTATAATAAATAACAAACCATTACTAAGGAAGGTTTCTTACATATTTTTTTTTTTTTGTACTTTTTCACCCTCTTGTTTTAATTGATAAATTTGTACATTTTAGCCCTTATTTGTTTTCACTGAAGAAAACATATCTACTTCATATTTCATGAATATTTTTTTTTTCAAAAACCTTAAAAATGTCCCGGTTTGAGGCAAAGAAATTATGGCAAGCCTACCCATTACCGAACCCAGCGTATTGTAATAATTCTTGCCAAAATCGGTGAAGATGATTTTTTTAAATTATTATTGGCAAAGAGATTTATGTGAAACGTTTCCTCATTAAAAATATAATGCAGGTTATGTCTTGGCAAGACCAATGTCCAGCAGTTAGGCATCTTTATTCCGAAATGTTTCACCTATATAGGTTTCATCAGTCGAATACAGGGGAAGCAGTATAGATGTAAAGATAATGTAATCAGTCCATCACCGTCGTTATATAGTGTTGAGGTGGTCAGTCCCTGAGCCTGGGGAAGAGTTTTGCTCCATAGACTGGAACAATGTGAAGCTGAAGCATCAGAATGGAGACAAACCACCGAAGGTGAGGTGCAGAAAATCTCGAAGATAACAGAAGAGTGTAATAATGGTAGAATTATTGACAATATGTTAGGTAAAAAGACACAAGTACAGCTTATGTGACATTATATTGGGCAACGTTTCGCTCTCTAGGAGTTTTGTGAAGCCGTTAAACACGTGTCTTATCAGTATATAAGTCGCCAATCTAATGCTTCAGCTACACATTTTCTTAGACTGGCGCAGAACTCTTCTCAAGGCCGAGGGACTGACCACCCCAACACGGTCTTTTTCCACATATTGTCGGTATCATTATGCCATTTTCAACAATGAAGAAGTTTCCTGGCTTGAGGTTCAGCTACGTTGTATTAGTCGCTGCTCTGGGAGTTTCTTTTTTCCATCGTGTCGGTAATTTATACCATTTATCACCATAAGTGCAATGCAGTTCTTTGACAACGTTTCGCCCACAAAGTGGACTTGATAAAGTCACAAACAGATCAAATCTGTTTGTGACTTAATGAAGTCCACTGTTTCGCGAAACGTTATCAATAAAAGGGTGAAGGAAATAAACTCTGAAGGGAAAAAAATGAAAAAAAGTCACAAGGAAAAAGCCAGTGGATTTGACAGTGGAAGGTTATGTTAGTCTCGATTAGGTTAGATTAGACTAGTTTGGGCTAGGCCAGCGTGCAGTTTATATTCCAACATCCTTGTGTTCAGTCCCCATTGTTTTTGCAACAATTTTGTCGTTGCTTATAGTTTAATCACTGTCGCACATTTTCCTTGCAGTTTCCTGTGTCACTGCCTCCCTCTTCATTTTGTGCATTTTCTTTTGTGCATCCACTTGCATAAGTCTAGATTACCATTATTTTCCACAGTGCAACATTTATCTGCTGTGTGTCCAAAACTTGCTGTATCGTACCAGTCAATTCCTGTGTACCATCGTATACTGTGCATGTTCTCGCTGGCTCCGAGACGAGCTTTAGAGTAAAATTGCGTACCCCTTCAAGCTTTCCTGCTCTCTTTTTCCTTCCTATTTCTTTTTTTCCGTGTTAGGTTAGATTAGGTGTGGTTTGTCAGGAAACAGGAGTAGTGTCTCCTGACGCGGGCCTTAGTCAGATGATGACTCGCCGTTGGTCCCTATTACAGGCGGTGGACACAACCCTTCGCCTTCTCCGTCCAGCTCGGGTAGTAATTCTGCAGATAATGGTTCAGGTAGTGCTTCTGGAGGGCACAGTTACATAGTTGGTGAAATTGTTGCCCAGGCGTAAGATAGTCATAGCCTTTCTATATGTCCCTAGAGTTTTGCTTACTATTCACGCCACTTTCTCAATCTTGATGATAGACCAGAGCTGTTAGAGACATGAATGAAGTTCGTTGAAACATATCTAGGGTCAACATGATCACCCCACGGACGACCGTAGTACTACATTAGACACGCAGCTGCGTCGGTCGTTCAGGATAAGGGAGAAGTTAATTCCTTTGTTCGTTTAAGCACATCAGTATCCTTAATCAGTGGAAAGATTTCAAGGAGTAAATGTGTAAATGCTTTTGCATGCGGAAGGCCCCTACCATATTGGCAACCATCAATATCTAGTATCTGGTTACCCTCACAAAGGTTCTTAGTCAGGTTACCCCAAACTACACATCTCGTGTAAACCCTTAGCCTTTTAACTTTGTTATCGTTATCCAATGTCATTCCATGGTTCTGACACAAACCGTTTCAGAAACCAGTCTTTCCATCTCAAGAAAGTAGCTAGAATCCAGATTACTTGTCAGATCACTCCAGTCAAAATCTCCCATTAAAACTATATTTTCGTTTCTAGATGCCTGAGCAATTTATCATGGTCACTTTCTAGGTCTTTGTAGGTCTGCGATCACACCTTACATTAGCTTTTCATGCTCTTCGAGAAACC